AGGGAGAGGCGAGCGAGAGCCGGGGAGAGGCAGGGAGAGGCGGGAGAGGCGAGGAGAGGCGGCGAGAGAGCCGGGAGAGGCAGGGAGAGGCGAGCGAGAGCCGAGGAGAGGCGAGCGAGAGGCGGGAGAGGCAGGGAGAGGCGAGCGAGAGCCGGGGAGAGAGGCAGGAGAGAGAGCGAGCGAGAGCGGGAGGGAGGCAGGGAGAGGCGAGCGAGAGCCGGGGAGAGGCGGGCGAGAGCGGGGAGAGGCAGGGAGAGGCGAGCGAGAGCCGGGGAGAGGCGAGCGAGAGCCGGGAGAGGCAGGGAGAGGCGAGCGAGAGCCGGGGAGAGGCAGGGAGAGGCGAGCGAGAGGCGAGGAGAGGCGAGCGAGAGGCGAGCGAGAGGCGAGCGAGAGGCGGGAGAGGCGGGAGAGGCGAGCGAGAGGCGAGCGAGAGGCAGGGAGAGGCGAGCGAGAGCGAGCGAGAGGCGGGGAGAGGCGAGCGAGAGGCGAGCGAGAGCAGGGAGAGGCGAGCGAGAGCCGGGGAGAGGCAGGGAGAGGCGAGCGAGAGCCGGGGAGAGGCGAGGAGAGAGGCAGGAGAGGCGAGCGAGAGGCAGGCGAGAGAGCGAGCGGAGGCAGAGCCGGGGAGAGGCAGAGAGAGGCGGGGAGAGGCAGGGAGAGGCGAGCGAGAGCCGGGGAGAGGCAGGGAGAGGCGAGCGAGAGCCGGGAGAGGCAGGGAGAGGCGAGCGAGAGCCGGGGAGAGGCAGGGAGAGGCGAGCGAGAGCCGGGGAGAGGCAGGGAGAGGCGAGCGAGAGGCAGGGAGAGGCAGGGAGAGGCGAGCGAGAGCCGGGAGAGGCGGGGAGAGGCAGGGAGAGGCGAGCGAGAGAGCCGGGGAGAGGCAGGGAGAGGCGAGCGAGAGCCGGGGAGAGGCAGGGAGAGGCGAGCGAGAGGCAGGGAGAGGCAGGGAGAGGCGAGCGAGAGCCGGGGAGAGGCAGGGAGAGGCGAGCGAGAGCCGGGGAGAGGCAGAGAGAGCCGGGGAGAGGCAGGGAGAGGCGAGCGAGAGCCGGGGAGAGGCGGGGAGAGGCAGGGAGAGGCGAGCGAGAGCCGGGGAGAGCAGGGAGAGGCGAGCGAGAGCCGGGGAGAGGCGAGCGAGAGGCGAGCGAGAGGCGAGCGAGAGGCAGGGAGAGGCAGGGAGAGGCGAGAGCCGGGGAGAGGCAGGGAGAGCCGGGGAGAGGCAGGGAGAGGCGAGCGAGAGCCGGGGAGAGGCGAGCGAGAGCCGGGGAGAGGCAGGGAGAGGCGAGCGAGAGGCGAGCGAGAGGCAGGGAGAGGCAGAGAGGCGAGCGAGAGGCGAGCGAGAGGCGAGCGAGAGGCGAGCGAGAGGCAGGGAGAGGCAGGGAGAGGCAGGGAGAGGCAGGGAGAGGCGAGAGCCGGGGAGAGGCAGGGAGAGGCAGGGAGAGGCGAGAGCCGGGGAGAGGCAGGGAGAGGCAGGGAGAGGCGAGAGCCGGGGAGAGGCAGGGAGAGGCAGGGAGAGGCGAGCTCCGGGGTTTGAGAACTCAGACTGGGCGAGTGACATGTGGAAGTACCGCTGAAAGCGAAACTCCTCCGTACGCAGCTCCTGGAGTAAATGACGGAACTCTGCAAACACTGCAGCCTCTCAAGTCTGTGGTGAACCCAGGACATGTTTTGTTGAAGCCCTACAACAACGTTATTTTGCTTTATATAATAAATAAAGGCTCGCTGCTCATTGAAAAATCCACCGCTGTCCTGACTACAGACAACAGAGAAGCTCCTCCCACAGACAACAGAGAAGCTCCTCCCACAGACAACAGAGAAGCTCCTCCCACCGGCGTCAGGCGCGTCACTCGCGTCAAAAGCTTCAAGCACCAAAATGACAAAACTATCCCGGCGTCAGTTGAAGCGCGTCAAAAGCTTTTTGAAGCTTTTGGTCTGAACGCGCCTTTTGGACTTGTTGCAAGTAAACACAAAAGAAAAAAAATATATAATAAATAAAGTAAATTAACTCATTCACTGCCCATGACGACAAAAGTCGTTCTATTGTATAGTGACGCTCACTGCCCAAGACGACTTAGACGACTTTTTCGTGTTATTACACGGGAGGCTGCAGTAATGTCTGGCGCACCTTGTTAATGACCCACAACACTGATATATAGTGCAAATGTACCTGTAATGATAAATCACCAGTAGGATGCAGTATTGCACCACAGGAGAGGTCATAAGTCAGTGGAGAGAAGGAGGAGGAGTGTGGGAGTGTGAGAGAGCGTGCTGCTGTAGCATTGAGACGGATCAGATCTAGTTTAGCGATAGTATAGCAAGAGTGATGGCAAAAAAGAATAGTTATAAGCAGTATACACTGCTTCAGAGATTGACTCGCGGATCAGTGAGTGAGGTCGAGAGGGGAGAGAGTGGAGACCCCGGTGGAGGTCCGTCTCTGCAGCCCAGAGCCCGGAGCAGGGACACACCTTCCGCCTCTCGCAGCGTATCAGCTGCTGCTGTTACTGATGCCTCGGATTCGTTCAGAGAACCTGATCATGATTTATCGGACACACTCACAAACACTCACTCACACAGACACTCACTCACACAGACACTCACTCGCACACTGACATTCACACACACAGACACTCACTCACACACTGACAATCACACACACACTCAAATTCACACGCTTCATTCTATTTTATACATCTATAGTTTTATTGATCTTTGTGTTGTTGTTGTTTGACGTTTTGGTTGATGGTATAGAAGAAAGTTAAATTTTCTATCTGTGAATAAATTGCCAACAATTTGCCATCAAAAGTATTATTTCAGAGTCATGTTTTTATAATTTTTGTAATGGAACAAGTGTGAAGATGTTTTGAGTTGTCACTAAAGCAGCAAAAATGCATCTAAAAGTCTCTTTTCTGCTTGATATGTTCCTGTTTACATACAGCTCGTTTTCTCTGTTTTCTTGCTCAGACCAGGTGTTATGGGTGAAAGTATGCTTTGTTCTATGGCAAATAACGCAAGAACGGTAAGAGGTAGAAACAAACTGTTTTTTTCAGAGTAAAGCAGAGAGGTGAATCTTTAATTTGGTGCCCTTGGTGTTTACATCGTCTAAAAAATGAATATTCTGTGGCACTTCAAAGTTGGGTCAAATCACCTGAAATTGCTGGCAGAATGCACTTCTCAAATCTGAAAATGCCTGGCAGTCAGTGAGTTAATAATAAAAATATAACATGGCTCTTAGTAAGCAGTGGGGCTGGGCGATATAAACGGTGTAAGCGGTATGCGATAACAATTTGGCCAACGATGGAGATTTTTGTTATACCAGCATATTGCGATAGGTCATTATATCATCAAATTGCACGGGGCCCAACAGAGTCCCTCCTCCAAGCTAGGTTCTCTGTTGGGCCCTGGTGGGGCTTGAGGTTCACCCGGCGCCGATTGGCTAAAGTTAGCGCAAACTCTAACTCCAGGAGAAAGCACCAGAACAACCGTTATTAGCCCAGCAGCATTAGCCCAGCAGCATTAGCCCAGCAGCATTAGCCCAGCAGCATTAGCCCAGCAGCATTAGCCCAGCAGCATTAGCCCAGCAGCATTAGCCCAGCAGCATTAGCCCAGCAGCATTAGCCCAGCAGCATTAGCCCAGCAGCATTAGCCCAGCAGCATTAGCCCAGCTGCATTAGCCCAGCTGCATTAGCCTAGCAGCATTAGCCTAGCAGCATTAGCCTAGCAGCATTAGCCCAGCAGCATTAGCCCAGCAGCATTAGCCCAGCAGCATTAGCCCAGCTGCATTAGCCTAGCTGCATTAGCCCAGCTGCATTAGCCTAGCAGCATTAGCCTAGCAGCATTAGCCTAGCAGCATTAGCCCAGCTGCATTAGCCCAGCTGCATTAGCCCAGCAGCATTAGCCCAGCAGCATTAGCCTAGCTGCATTAGCCTAGCAGCATTAGCCTAGCAGCATTAGCCTAGCAGCATTAGCCTAGCAGCATTAGCCCAGCAGCATTAGCCCAGCAGCATTAGCCTAGCAGCATTAGCCTAGCAGCATTAGCCCAGCAGCATTAGCCCAGCAGCATTAGCCTAGCAGCATTAGCCTAGCAGCATTAGCCCAGCAGCATTAGCCTAGCAGCATTAGCCTAGCAGCATTAGCCTAGCAGCATTAGCCCAGCAGCATTAGCCTAGCAGCATTAGCCTAGCAGCATTAGCCCAGCAGCATTAGCCCAGCAGCATTAGCCTAGCAGCATTAGCCTAGCAGCATTAGCCCAGCAGCATTAGCCTAGCAGCATTAGCCTAGCAGCATTAGCCTAGCAGCATTAGCCCAGCAGCATTAGCCTAGCAGCATTAGCCCAGATCACATCCATGGGCTTAATGTTGACGAGCGCCAGCAGGAGTTTGGTAAAGTTAGCGTCAGATTCGGACTTCCGCGGTCAATAGCTCACAAGAGCTACTTTGTTAAACAAAAGTAATTGTGCCAAAATTATCTTATTTACATCAATTGCTCAAATCCAATGCGCTGTTTTTGTTTTAATGCAGCAAAGTCCATTGCTGCAAGCGCCAAAAAAGCGCTTAGGGAGCGTCAACAAATGTCAAGACCAGCTTTGTAAACAAACAATAGCTTTTACTGAAGCCATGTACACAATTGATTAAATACTGGATGAAATACTGGTGATTTTGTTTGTGGAGACTGGACACACCTGAATTCAAACTAAAAAATATATATATATTAGATTCTAATATATAAATAAGTAACAATCGTGACTATTTTATGCAAGAACCTGCTAGACCTATATTGAAATTCACACACCAAATTATACCGCAATATATACCGTCTACCGTCTGTGTCCCAAATTATACTGCAATATGAATTTTAGGCCATATCGCCCACACCTAGTAAGCAGTAAGCACTATCCTTGTTAGTCTGTTAACCACCCCTCCCTGTGCGTGTGTGTGTGTTCGTGTTCAGCTCGCGCTCGGACAGTGGTAGTCCATGGCTCACTGCGCTCTCAGGACACAGAGCGTCAGCTGATGGAGCAGCTGCAGCAGCGTTGTGAGCAGCAGGCTCTGCAGCTGCAGACTCTTCAGGCTCAGCTGCAGAAGGCCTCTCTGTGTCTGGATGCGTTCACCATCACCACACAGCACTTCTGCCGCCAGGTAAACTTCATTGTCACTACAACTACTATACATACTGCAGAGGGATAATTGTTTAGGGACCAGACACATTAAATATTTCTAATTAATCATACTTCATGTACTTCTTGTATTTGTTGAAAGTTTTCACAGATTGCGACCATATTATATTGTTGTGTTTGTAATTTACACCTTGAATATTATTTTTGGAGTAAACCACAACAAAGTCTGGGTCCATAAATGTTTAAAATGTATACAAGGTCTTCGTCAAGTACAGCCCCCTTGAACCTTTCGCCACATTTCAGGCTTCAAACATAAAGATATAAAATTTTAATTTTTTGTCATGAATCAACAAGTGGGACACAATCGTGAAGTGGAACAAAATGTATTGGATAATTTAAACTTTTTTAACAAATAAAAAACTGAAAAGTGGGGCGTGCAATATTATTGGGCCCCTTTACTTTCAGTGCAGCAAACTCAGTCCAGAAGTTCAGTGAGGATCTTTGAATGATCCAATGTTGTCCTAAATGACTGATGATGATAAATAGAATGCACCTGTGTGTAATCAAGTCTCCGTATAAATGCACCTGCTCTTTGATGGTCTCAGGGTTCTGTTTAAAGCGCAGAGAGAACCATGAAGACAAAGGAACACACCAGGCAGGTCCGAGATACTGTTGTGGAGAAGTTTAAAGCCGGATTTGGCTACAAAAAGATTTCCCAAGCTTTAAACATCTCAAGGAGCACTGTGCAAGCAATTATATTGAAATGGAAGGAGTATCAGACCACTGCAAATCTACCAAGACCCGGCCGTCCCTCCAAACTTTCATCTCAAACAAGGAGAAGACTGATCAGAGATGCAGCCAAGAGGCCCATGATCACTCTGGATGAACTGCAGATAACTACAGCTGAGGTGGGAGAGTCTGTCTGTATGGTCCAAAACATGCGACAGCCTAATGTGGTGGATATTGACCCACGCGTGTAAAAACTTAAGAAAACTGAGAAAATTAAAGTTCTTTGTTATTTATTTTCAAAGGAAAAACACTGCCAACAATACAACACAATGGAAAATATTAAAGGCTCCTCCACCTACACTGTCACAAAATCAAAAGGAACACAGGTGTCCTAATATCCAGAACAGGTGCCATGATGAGCCTGAGCCACAGCAGCCACAGCACCATCCAGTGGCAAAAAACAGAAAAGCAGCATGGGCTATACACTGTCCATAGGACAACAATCAGTCGTGCACTGCACAAATCTGGCCTTTATGGAAGAGTGGCAAGAAGAAAGCCATTTCTCAAAGATATCCATAAAAAGTCTCGTTTAAAGTTTGCCACAAGCCACCTGGGAGACACACCAAACATGTGGAAGAAGGTGCTCTGGTCAGATGAAACCAAAATGGAACTTTTTGGCTACAATGCAAAACGATATGTTTGGCGTAAAAGCAACACAGCTCATCACCCTGAACACACCATCCCCACTGTCAAACATGGGGGTGGCAGCATCATGCTTTGGGCCTGCTTTTCTTCAGCAGGGACAGGGAAGATGGCTAAAATTGATGGGAAGATGGATGGAGCCAAATACAGGACCATTCTGGAAGAAAACCTGTTGGAGTCTGCAAAAGACCTGAGACTGGGACGGAGATTTATCTTCCAACAGGACAATGATCCAAAACATAAAGCCAAATCTACAATGGAATGGTTCACAAATAGACGTATCCAGGTGTGTAAAGAACAGCTGTTCTTTACGGGTAATATCGCACTGCACTTTATGAATTTACCTTTTAAATGTCACATCACACTTTAAATTGCACTGTACACATATTGTCACATGCTAATTTGCACATATAATAAATTGCACACAACTGTTGGGTAGAAAGACATTTATTGAGGGCTTGGGTTGTCCAGAGTCCGGTCTGCGGAGACAAACAAAACAGTTTGAGTGGGGCTTTGTGCAATATATGTGGTGTTTGAGTTAGTTGTGTTTGGTATGGGTTCGGGTGTGTGTGATGTGTGGTTTTAGTGGGTGAATGATATAAGTGTGGGCTGTGATATGTATTTTAAAAATGTGTTTACTCACCACTGTCTTGTGTCCAGGTGCGTGGGCCAAAAGGGTCCCCGGGCCACAAACACCGGCATTTATGGTTCCGGCTGGACCAAGTCAATGAATTGGTGGAGGGGGGATCTAGCACTGTTTTTAGTCATAGTTGGTATAGATATTTTTGTAGGAGGGTGTTTTAGGAGTATATTTTTGTAGGGGGGTGTTTTATTATTGTAACTGGTTATTGGTATTTTAATGGAGGGTTTTAACATAGTTTTTAGAAGCTAATGTTAATGCTATACCCCTGGAGTTTTAATTGGTTTTACCCAGTAGTATATAAGGCGCCCATTTTTACCATTCCATTGTCCTGCTGCTGGGGAACACATGCTCCTGTCCTTCATCCACTGTGTTGGTTTGTTTTGCATTTTTGCACCCTTTTCTTTGTCTGCACTGGTCACTTTAAAAAAAAGGAAAAACAGAAAATAAAAATAAGTGGACCAAGCTGAAGCCTGCCTCCGTCAACTTTGTTTGGGTTTATCTCACTGCCATCCAGCCGCTCAAAGCCAGGCCTGCTAACAATTGGTGTCAGAAGTGCTGCCCTGCCACAGTGAGTAGATCAAGACAATGATGACTAGAGGAGGAAAAAGGGATGAGGAACCAGATCAAGGAAATGTTGACACGTCTGATCCTCAAGGGGCCACCGGTGGGCACAGTGATAAAGTGGAGGAGCTGACTGCTCTCGTGAAAGCATTGATCGAGAAGCAGGATGCAAGAGACAGAAAGCATGATAAAGATCAGCTGCAACAGGAGCAACGCTGGAAGACCATGCAACGGCAGGTCCAACGGGTCCAGCAGCAGCAATATGGAAGGTCCGAGCACTCTGGGTTGGATGTGCGAGGACATATGGAGACACCTTGTGACAACGACACAGGTGATTGTGATGATGAGGCAGACCCAGGCGGCTATAGCTACAGACCGCAGAGGGAGGCCGCACTGCCATGTTTCAAACCAGGAGATGACATTGAACATTTTTTGATTACTTTTGAGCGGATGGCCAGAGTCTATCAGTGGCCAAAAGAAGAGTGGGCGGTTCGTTTAGTCCCATTATTGACCGGGAAGGCACGCAGCGCTTTTGTGCAAATGGACATTCGGCACTCAAACATGTATGGAAGAGTAAAGGACGCTATATTAGCAAAATATGAGATCACAGAGGAGACGTACCGGCGACGCTTCAGGTCCCTTCAACTTGAGCCAGAAGAGACGCCACGGGAGCTGTACGTCCGCCTCAGGGACTTGTTGAACCGTTGGCTCCAACCTGAGAAGGCATCTGAAGAGGAGATCTGGGAGAAGCTCATCCTGGAGCAGTTTCTCCGAATGGTTAACCCCGAGCTTGAAGTCTGGATCCGGGAGAGAGACCCCGTGAGTGCAGAAGAAGCAGCTCGTCTCGCAGAGTCCTTCATGGCTGCACGCAAAGGACCCAGAGCTGGCTACTTCGGAAGGGAGCCCCGCTTCGCCCAGCCAAGTAAGTCCTTTGGGGGTGATCAGGGTCGTGGTCCTGATTCTGGGGGGTTTAAGAGTAGGCCTCCATTTTTTCAGTCACGCTCAGACAGACGACCAAAAACATCTCAGACACAGGAAGTAAGATGCTACAATTGCAACAAACTAGGTCATACTCAGCATTTTTGCCCGACATTAAAGTCTAAACCTTCGCTTTTGTGTTCAGTACCTAGGCCGGCTACGGTACCCACTTTAGAGAAGAGGGGGCGCACGACACCTGTGCTAGTTAACGGCCACAAAGTTAGTGCATTGTTAGACTCTGGTTGTTTTCAGTCTATAATCCTGTCGCGTTTGGTCCCAGAGGAAAGGCGCTCTAGGGAGACCATACCACTTACTTGTATACATGGAGATGAGCATACTTACCCAACAGCTGAGGTCTATGCAACAGTAGGAGGTCAAACTTACCTGTTAAAGGTTGCCTTAGCAGAAAACTTACCATATGAGGTCATCCTAGGAAATGACATTCCAACTTTACTTGATCTCATGTCACAGGTAACTGAGGAACTCTCTGAGTCAGTTAACTCGGTTAATGTCCTTACAAGAGCACAGAAAGCAAAAGCTATTCTGGAGGAGCTTCCTTTTTGGGAGGAAGAACTTGAAGCTTTGCCAGGAAAGAGTAGGAAACCCAAAGCGCAGAAAAGGCAAGAAAAGTTTGCAGGCTCTCCCAGGGAGGACACACAGTTGCCAAAACCACTTAGCCCAGTTGAATTTGGGATACCCTCAGACATAGGGACACTCCAGAAACGGGACATATCCCTAAAATCCTGGTTTGAAAATGTGTCTAATCAGCAGAGGGGGATAAAAAGGTTGGATGAGACAGAGTACAGGATTAAAAATGGTATCTTGTATCAGGTTAATGGGAAAAGTGAAGCTATTGCCTTGCCTCATCAGTTTAGACAGCAGGTAATGGAACTGGGCCACTCCATTCCCTGGGCCGGTCATATGGCTTTTCAGAGAACACTGCGCAGAATCGGCAGTCGTTTTGCCTGGCCTGGCATGTATACCCAGATATCAAATTTCTGCAAAAGCTGTGAGAAATGTCAATTGACGGCAGGAAAAGGGGTTGGTCACGCCCACTTGCAGCCGCTGCCCATTATTGGTACCCCATTTGAGCGAATTGGAATGGACATTGTTGGTCCTTTGGAGAAAAGTTCCTCAGGTAACCGTTTCATTTTGGTCCTGTGTGACTATGCCACAAGATACCCAGAAGCGTTTCCATTGCGCTCAATCAAAGCTAAGCAAATTGCAAATTGTCTTTTGCAGCTATTTTCCAGGGTAGGTGTGGCAAAAGAAATTCTGACTGATTGTGGTACCAATTTTATGTCTAAACTGTTGAAGCAAGTTTACCAGCTGTTGGGGGTTAAGGGGATCAGGACCACACCTTATCACCCCCAAACGGATGGGCTGGTGGAGCGCTATAACAAGACTTT